GTGGCCGAGGCCGGGCAGCCGGCGGGGCGGGGCGGCCAGTGGCTTCAGCCGGCGCGTGAGGAGGTTTAGTTGCTGCTGGGGACCATCTGAGAGCACCCGGGCGTTGCTTTCCCTCAGGCTGCTGGCTTCAGTGTAATTGTCTAATTAAGGGATGTGTTTATTACTGGTGTGTTGGGGGCTTCTTTTAAATAGGATCCTGGGGAAAAGCCTGGTGTCACCAGTGTTGCTCAGGGAGGGCACAACTGTGGCGGCCCTCCCTGGCCAACTGTGTAGTCGGTGCTGGGTCAGAAATTCCTGCTTGCTGAAGGATCTCTTCCTGCTTTGCACCTAAGATGAGATTTGGAGGTGGGAGGAAAAGCAGAGCAATATAACAAGGCTGCTTGTGTCTCTTGTTATTCTGTAGGTGGGTGATGCCCAGCACAGCCATGAAGAAAAAGGTAAAAATTTAATTAACCCCTCTCTCTTCTAGCTTTATAGATTGGCGAATGTGGGTGAAGTTGATTCTGATGTTTGTCAGACACTGTCTTTTGCAGAAGTCAATATACTGTATATTCTTGCACCAATTCAATGTCATCTTTTTGGTTATCAGTTGACTATCCCCTGTAGCAAAATTTAAAGCTGATATCAAATAATTTTGTAACCAGAACAACTGAACTCCGGCATGGCATAACCTGACATGGTGACTATTCCAAAAATACGCCTGGCAGCCACTGCAAATAACACTGAATTCTGACCTCCTATGTGCCTCTTCCTGCCTAAGGAGAGTAGGTGTGTCAAGACCCAGTCCTTGGGTACTTGTTGAAACATGCTTGATAAGTTACGAATGAAGGAATGTGCATTGGTGAGCTGTGGTTCCCTTAAGTGATGGGGTGAGGAAGCTTGACTTGTTTATGGAGTCATCAGGATCCTAAGGTGGAAATAGCTTCTCCACTTGCGATTAGGGGTATAGGCAATCAATGACAAACGTGCAAGAATTGCTCAAAATAGCTACTAGAAGAATGTAGCTGTGTACATGATATTTAGATCAGATGTCCTTTCTTTTACCGCATGTCAATATCTGGTCCATTTGAAAAGTCAGTGTAGGGTGATGGTGAAATCTAACACCTTTTAGGCTTCTTTTAAGACTAGATAGGTCTGTGTCTACTATCAGCCTAAGGCTCACAGGAACACTTTTGCACCAGAAGGAGTCTTTCATTGTGACAAATGAAAGCAGATATTTTTCTATCTTTTGTCGTCCCTTATGTAGCTAAGAGAGATTGTACTATGACTTGAGAGGTTTCCTTCAGGAAAGCTGTGAGGTACTCCATATCCTGTCTGTCTCTGGAAAAGAGCGCTCCCAAGCTGCAAAGCCCACTAAGACCTGTCATCCCTAGCTCTTTTGAACTCTGTTATGCTTTGAGAGTAGATAAATCAATTCAGTACCATAACTGGGTTCAGAACTACTGAGACAGAACTTGACCCTCACTTAGTCACTTCCTTGAGTAGTTATTTTATAAACTAGCAGAGTGAGATTCTAAATGGCTCAGTTGATCACATTTGTTTTCAGTTTGCTAGCTCTACAAGCTTACTCTTGAATCTGAGAGTCAAGTGGTTGTCTTTCTGGTGTTCACTCTGCTGCCAATAACATGTGGTCTACAGGCCACATCCAGCCCAGTTGCCCCCTTATAACCCCTTTGTTTACAGTAGGATTTCAGAGTAGGGTCAAAGGCAGGGCTTAGCCTTGCAACTGGAACTCAATCAGCAATTCTTTTGACAGCGTGACCCAGTCTCTGCTGCTTTAAGCCTATCGTTTAGGCAATATGCAGAGCCATTCAAGTGACTCTTGTACGTTCCTCCCCCACCTTCCAGTTATAAGTTGAGCATGCTGCTTCTTGCTCTCCTGGGGCTTGGGAAACAAGAAACTAGAACTGAATCTGTATAGTAGTTTAGAGTTCTCAAGCTGCATTGGCCCTCTAGCCTACAAATTAGTGTACTCTGTAGAAGTGCATCACTTCAGGACTGACAAAGAGTATGCACTTATATAATTTAATGTAAGGGATGCACATTATGTACACAACATGAATAATGCTATGCATTTTTCAAGCATTGTTCATAGTGCTGTGATATTAGCTGCCCTGAAACTGACCATTATTCCCCTCATTTTCAAAGCTTTTACTAGTCAGTTTCTGGGCTGATATTAAAAGCCTTGAAATTGATGACAAGTAACCCGTTTGGGGTTCTGCTAATACCAAGGCACTGACAGTGCTGTAACAAATTCTTGGTAAGTACACATTGCTGTCAGTGCTGTGGGGTTAGCAGCCCTCAAACTGACCAACTCCACCATTTTCAAGACTTCTGATAGCAGCCCTTTGACAGCTGCTTCCCCTGCACTATTTCTGGAATAGTTAAAGGAATAGAACTTGTTACAAAGCAGGCAGGCAGTTCATATACAGTTAACAGGAGCACGGCAAAGTTATACAGCAGGCTACAGATGTTGTGCACTTAACTGATTTATGCATTTAAGGGATATGCCTGCAATCAAGTTTGGTACAACAGAAGTGATAGGCAAGAAATTGTCTTAACTTGCAAAATACCAGCTAAGGCACATGAGTTATACTTCCCAGTAGGTACGTAGATAACGCACACTGTACTACTTCTCATTTTCTAAAACACTTGCAGCTAAGAGCAAGATTTCAGTTGCATTTCAGTTGGGGAAACAAACTGAATCTTTTGAGCCTAATAGGACAAGATAATCAGAAGAGACACAGTGGCAGAGGGCACTGAATAGGCACGTGATCATGTGTAGTCGAGCAGTTTTCCTAAACGTCTGGAATGTGTTATGTTGTTGTTGGCTCACTTGAGTTGTGGTGCTCAGACTTACTGAGAATAGCAAGGCTTCACGTTCAATGCTAGTGCCTTTGGGGGGCGCGTGAACAGTCTGGGGAAGTGAAAGACTAAAAGCTATTTAAAAAATAAACCCAGATCTTCATTGGATACTTGAAATCTAGCTGTAAACTTTGTGGAGCGCCGTCTCCCCATGTGTGTAGGAGAAATGAGTACCGATTGGTGTGGCCATGGCTACTTGTATAGGGGAAGCTGGGGGTTATCACGGGGAAAGCAAAATGAGAAATGAGAGAGATCTTTTCAGTGGCTCTTTTTTTTGTTCTTTTAGATCTAAGGCAATGGTAAGCAACATTTTGCAGTGGGAGTTGGGGGAGGGGTGTGTGCAGGGAGCTGCCTTAACAGAGCTAAACTCCAAGCACTAGCCGCTTCCAACCCAGCCTATGCTGCCAGAGCTGGTGCTGCAGTTACTTTCCCCACCCCCCACAGCAGTGCTACCACTGCCGCTTCTTGCTGCCCAGGTGAAGCCTCCTCTCCTAGAAATGCTGCAGAACCCCTCAGCTCTGCAGGCTGGATCCAGCCCACAGGCCATAGGTTACTAATCCCTGGCTTTGGGCACCTCATCCAAGGAGCAGTGGGCACAGCTTGTACAGACAGACCTGGGTGGAGAGAGAGAAGAAAGGCAAAACCCAAGGAGGAGGGAATTGTTCCAAGGCATGTTGGGTGAATGGACAGCATATAAATTGGCAATAAGCTATAGAGGTTCATAGCTTATCATATTAATTGGTTCATTCATTGTGTATGTAAAGGATTTAAGACCACACTGCTTCCAGCTGCTCAAGAGTTTTACCATCTTTTTCCAATGCAGCCAAATCAAATTGCCTGTTGAGGCCTTTTGTCTCTGCAGTGTTAGTATCTCAGTCATGAGAGATTCATGGAGAACTCTTTTTTTCCATACCCAGGTGCTGTTGATGGGAAAAAGCGGGTCTGGTAAGACCAGCATGAGATCCATTATCTTCGCAAACTACATTGCCAGGGATACGCGGCGTCTCGGTGCTACAAGTAAGATCTCTGTCTAATTGAATCATAAAGCATCAGCTCTTGAATTCTAGCTGAATTTAAAACCATCTGTAAATGGCTGTGAGGCCATTGCCTCTTGAGAGTGCTGCTTTTTCTCTTCTGTAGATGCAGTAGAATAGGACATCTCCTGAAAATGGAGGCTCTTCCAGGATGGCTCAGCTAAAATCTGAGCAAAAATAGATGAAATGAAGGAGAAAAGGCTTGGGAATTACTTTCAGCAAATTCAAAGAGACTAGCGCTACCTGTTCATACAAGATGGCTTATGTCAATGGACTCATCTCATCCTTCCCTCCAAAGTGTAAACCAGAAAATGACTTGAATGTTGAGGCAGGTGGATTTTTTCGATTCACCCTGTCTGTCCTCAGAGAGCTGTTCAGAAGCTCATCGTGGTGGCTTTTGCTGAGGAGGAAGGGTCCAACTTCTCTATGGCAGGATGCTGCTCTATGGCAGCAGTAGCTGTGCTGCTTATGCAAATAGCATCAGTGGTCTCGACATAAGGACCTCTGACTTCTGCAGCACAACTCATTAGCCTGTGTTAGTATATTGTCTTCCCCTTTTTGTAGGGTCATTCATTTAAAGATCTGTAAGCAGTTCTTAGTCCTAGTATGGCTTTCCTCCATCTACTGTCCTCACTGGGGAAAAGCTGTAAGAGTCTTGTGTGACAGAGATGCATACATGTATAGTGGAGTTTTCTCATGTGTCAGAATGGTGGGATCTTTTAAAAAATGTGAAATGCCCCATCCCCCCTCCCTTCTCTAACATTTCCCTTCTAGCACTATCTGTTTAAAGCTGCTTGGGCTTATCCAGACCAAACTGGTTTTAAGCTTAACATGATTTGGAGGTTAAGGTATTACTCCCTTAAAATGGTTAAGGTATTAAATATTGAATGTTCCACAGAGAGCAGTATCCTGGTATTTTATAAGCAGGGATCCCTGTTTTCTGTTTCCCACAGAAAAACGGAGAAAACCACAGATTTCCCATTTTTATCAGAGAGAATGTGGATTTTCCTTTTTAGCAGAGAATCTCATGGATTTCCTGCTTCTGCAAAGAGTTCTGCAGGCTGGCAGAGTTCCAGCCTGCAAGAGCTGATCGCAAAATGGATGGGAAACCTCCAGCCCTGCCTGGAGGGACAGAGGGGAGAGCGGGGCCTGAAACTTTTATTCAGTCCCAAAGCTTACCTCTGGCTCACTTTCCTTCTGGTGCCTGTAAGGTTAGATAAGTGGGGCTCAGCTGGCTGGGAGCTGAGGGATAGGGGAGGTGTTAGTGAATGACATGGGGTACCCAGCCGGCAGCACGTGGACCTCCAGCAATGCTATCAGCCTGACTGGGTTCGACACCACCATGTGCGGGTTCCATTAGGGGCCCGTAGTGCTTCTCGTGGTCCATGTACAGCTGGCCGGGCACTCTGGCCAGGAGCGGGGAGGTGTTGGCAAGAGACATGGAGTGCCCGGCCAGCTGCATGTGGACTGTGAGTGGCGCTATGGCCCCTTAAGGGAAGCCATGCATGAAGGTGCTGAGCCTGGTTGAGCCAATAGCACTGTGGGCAGTCCACGTGTAGCTGGCCAGGCACTCTGTCTTTCGCTCTTGGGGCAGGGGGGACATGCTCCCCCAGATCTCTGCATGGAGCAGGCTGTGGGCTCAAGCTCCTGACCTATTTTCCTCCCACGGGGCCTCTGCAGCCCCACAGGCACAATCCTGCATGGCTGGGAACAGTGGGGCCACATGGGGATTTCCTTGCCCCCCTGCTGCCCTGGCAATGTGCCTCCTGCTCCTACTGCTGCTTTGAGGGGCACAGCCCTCCTACAAAGTGCAGGAGGCGCGTTGCTGGGGCAGTGCTGGATGAGCAGCTGCTAGGAGATCCCCAGGCTGCTCCTCTGTCTCCAGCTGAGCTGGGTTGTGGGGGAGAAAAGCAAGGCAGCAAGGAACAATGATCCTGCAGCTGCTTGCTGCTGTTTCCTACCGCCTTGCCTCCTTCCCCCCGCAACCCAGCGTGGATGAGGACAGAGGAGCTGTGCAGGGATCTCCTAGCAGCTGCTCACCCTGTGCTGCCTCGCTGACACACCTTTTGTGTATGGGGCTGCACTGAGGGAAGTGGCACGGGGCTGCACCCCTCAAAGTGGCAACAGGCACAGGAGGCATGTCTCCAGGGCGGTGGTGGGGCAAGGAGATCCCCATGTGGTCCTGTTGTTCCCACCCATGCTGGGTCATGCCTGCAGGGCTACAGAGGCCCTGCATGAGGGAAGCAGGGTGGGAGCTCAAGCCTGCAGCCTGCTCCCTGCACAGATCTGGGGGGCACATGGCCCTGCCTGATCTCGCAGCAGGCAACAGTGGGGGAGCTGGCTTCATGCTTCTTCTGCTGCAGCTGTCTTCTGTTGGGGACAGGGAGCTGTGGACCTGGGTCCCTGGCCCCATAGCCCAGGCAGCTGGGGGCCCCCTCTGGCAGGGCTGGGGGGCAGCGCCTGTGGGTGGTGGGCAAGGGGCACAAGCAGGCCTGCTGGGGTTGTGGGTGGGGGGCAAGGGGTACCAGGAAGGCTGGGGGGCTGTAGTGGGGGGAAGAGGGGTACCAGAAGGGCTAGGGGGGTTGTGGGGAGCCTTTAATTTTAATCATGGATTTGGGGCTTTTTATCAGAGAACTTTGCAATTTTTTTTATTGGGGAATACCTGGATCCCTGTTTAAGGCAGGCAGCCTTGAGTTCACTCAGTGAGCTATGGTCACCTGTGGTGTAACCACCCAGCTGAATACACCTAATAATGCCAGTTAGATGGAATTCATCCTTGCAGTACAAGATTTCATGTTGCCCTGTGTCACTTCTTCATCATGGGGATGGTGGCAAACCAGCAGTCCTGCCCCCCCACACTTCAACCTGTTGTGTATTTCGTGTGTGCCACCATTAATAAGCTTCTCATCTCTTTACAGTTGATGTCGAGCACTCCCATGTTCGATTTCTAGGAAACTTGGTGTTAAACCTGTGGGACTGTGGTGGGTAAGTATTTGCTCTTTCCCGAATGAAAACTGTTGGGTAGCCCTGGTCACTAATCAGCAGGAGGTCCATCTTTTATCTGCAGTGGTGCTGGAATGCTTTCTTCTTATTGAACACATTAAATGAACTGTTTATGATGACTTGCAAAACAGATGATGCAACCAGGTAAGTAGTAGATCTCACATCTTAAATTTACACATGGACTCAGGTGGAAGAAGCTAGCTTGATGACCCAGAATCTGTGTGATGTGCAATAAGACTGTCTACTGATGCCTTCTGCTATGTTGATGCATCTTAGCTCTGTATCTGGGCAAACTCTAGACTGGCGAGATGAGTATTAGAAATAGAGTGTAGAACTTCTGTCTAGGTCACTGGTTCAAACTGGACCAAACTAGTAGTAATGTTAAATGAACAGGTGGGTGGTAACAAACCTCTGGCTCCTAGTGGGCAGCTTTCCATTGAACAGTTCCATTTACTGGCAATCTTGGTAGGGATATATACAGGTAAAGACTTCTGATGGAAGGAGTTGGTCTCCTAAATAATAAATTGCATGCTAGTTGATCAGGATTTAGGCTGTCTTGTTGGGAGAAGAGTATATTATTTGTGCTGTACTTGCTCTGCAGATAAGTGGAGGACTTTGCAGCTGTCAGCGCCAGTCTCAATAGCTAAATCTTCAGATGTTGTAGACTTTCTGGGTAATTCAGCCACAGGTAAACTAACTGGAAACTATGCCTTTCTGTCTCAGACAGGACACCTTTATGGAGAACTACTTCACCAGCCAGCGGGATAACATTTTCCGCAATGTGGAAGTCCTGATCTATGTCTTCGATGTGGAGAGCCGCGAGTTGGAGAAGGACATGCATTACTACCAGTCATGCCTGGAGGCCATTCTCCAGAACTCTCCCGATGCCAAGATCTTCTGCCTAGTGCACAAGATGGATCTGGTACAAGAGGATCAGCGTGATCTGGTGAGGAACTTCCTTGTTGCCTTATTAGCAAGTTCTTAGGAACAGCATACTGGCGTTGTTATCTTACACAATGCTGTTACCATCTCTCGCTCTAAATGCATCCTCGCCAACACTTTCTCCAGAGACTCTGTTCAACTGTTTAAAGAAAGCCTCTGAACGTTCTGAATTGCTTGCAGCCTCCAAATTTACTATCTCTGAACTACTCTTTGCCCATTTCAGATACTGCTGGCTCGTGTAATGTAGAATCAAATTAATTTCTTTTTAATCCACCTCCTGCCTGATTGTAGCATCTTTACTAGCTCCTGGGAGTGCTGCAGGGAAAGAAATCCAGAAGATTCAGTATTGCTGTAGTACTTTAGAGGGCTAGATGGTATAGAGGGTTGCTGGGTTTTTTGTGAGGGATAGAGACCCTCACTTCTAGGTTGCTGGTTCAAATCTAACTCTCTTCTGTTCCTCTATATTTGGGCAGTTGTGCAAAGGACTCTGAATAAAGCAAGGTGGCCCCATGTGTAAAACAACAAGCGAACCTGCTTGGGTTAGACAGAATTCAGGATTTTCTTGGACATGGAACTAGTTAAGCAAAAAACACTCATGCTTTGCCATGATGCCTGGTATTTCAGGTTATGATCCAGTAGCTGTTAAATCTTCTGCACATGGATCTTGATGTTATTGCATTCTAGCCACTCCCTGAGATAAGAGCATAGAGGTGTGAAGTCACACAGTTACATGAATTGTAAGTACTGCATCTCCTATAAGAACTGCTTTGAGGTATCGGCTAGACTATTTTGGGTCAGAGGTGTTGTGTAATTGGACTGAAACTACTGACCCAACTTGAAAGCAGTCCCAAATCACATGGTAGATTTTTAGCATCCAACAGATACAGTCTAGATGCGTTGTTAGGCAACAATTCAGGAGGTGTCTGGGTAATATTTGCTCCCTGCCACTGAAGGCAGAAGATGGTATAAGCCTTTCAGAAACCTGGAAGCCAGGTGCTGTGATACAGCGTGGCTTTCACGTTGGGCTCATTTTCAGGCCAATATGTCTTTAGAATCCCCCTCCTTAAGGGGACGTTTCTGTGGATTGAATAAACCTCAGAGGAATCGAAATGTTGTTTATCCCCACCAGATAGCTGATCTGGCTTCCACCCACTTGTCATCTTTCTTGCCTTTAATTTCTAGCTTCTACTTCTGAGACTACCTGTCATATAGATATAGCTGAAACAAGCAGGCTGGATTTTGTCCACTGGATTTAATGTGGACAAAGCCAGGGGTGGGCAAAATATGGCCCATGGACCAGATCTATCCTGCCAGTTGATCATGTCCAACCTGCAGGGCTTCACCTGGGTCCCTGCCCCACCCAGGGCAGTCCTGAGTACTGCTTCTCTTCCTGCCCCTTCTGCGCTGCTCTGAGCAGCAGGTAGCACAGGAAAATGGGGATGTGTGTTGAGCACCATGTGCCCAGCCAGGTGGGGGAGGGAGCTGCAGCTGGGCAGTGTCTGCCCCAGGGCATGGGGCTCCAGCTCCCAACTGCCTTCCACCTACTCTGCCTGCCCAGTGCAATGAACAGCCGCCTGCAGGTGGCCAGCGGTTGGAAGGCGACCAGAAGCTGGAATTGGAGCCCTGCACACTGGGGCAGGAGATGCCGAGCTGCAGCTTCCCCCTGCCTGGCTGGGTATGGCGTGCATCCCTTCAGCTTCTCTGCACTCTCTGCTGCCTGTCATGGCTCAGCAGGCAGGAGGAGGAGCCTCTTGAGGGGAGAAGGAGCCAAGGAGTACCAGGGTGGCTGCAGGAGCAGCCCTGCTAGGAAGCTGCATGCTGGCTGGGGCTAGGCCTGGGGCGGGTGTAGGCAGGAGAGTGGCACACGCTGCCCTGGCTAGAGCAAGAGGGTCTTGGCCGCATATGGAGCACTGTGAGGGCAGCTGCAAGTTGGATGAGGGGGGATGAATCGCAATGCGGGGTGAGCTCTGTTCCAAGAAACCCCTGCCCCTTCCTCCCCTCACCCCCAACTGGCTCCCAGGACCTAGCATGCAGGCAGCCCCCCGCACGCAGGCGCACACCCACCCCTCCACAGACACACTATACAAGATTAAGACTTTATTTTGAGCTATTATGCTATCACCTTCTATATACACTACTCAAAAACAAACCAGGACAAAAATTAATTTTTTTAAATAAAATTAAAATGTTACAGTATTTGATTTTTAGTATATCATTTTTTTTATCTATTTGTTAAAATGATATCTTCTGAAAGTTTTTATATGTGCAGCCCTCTACAGCTCACCATGTAGCCCAGTGGTCACCAACCAGGGGATCTCGATCCACTGGTATATCCTGGAGCCTTTTGGAGTCAATCCGAGCCTGGGGTGCGGGGGGGCTGAGTGCCCATGTGCATGCAGATGCGAGCGCCAGCCCAGCAGGTCAGTCTGTGGGGGAGGAAAGGGACAGGGGCTAAATTGAGGCCCCCACGGTGAGGAACAGTGCTGCAGTGGCAGAAGCAGGGGTAAGTTGAGTAGGGCTCTGGCTGGGTGGGACTTGCCTACTGAGGAGGTGTGCCCCCAAATAATTTTTTCTCCCTCTGCCTTGATCTGTCCCCGCCTTCCCTCCCCACAGACTTACTTATTGGGCGGGGGGGACACTAGCACACAGTAGATCTTGGGTTGTCTTTAAATGCCAAAGGTGATCTCCAACTTAAAAAGGTTGGAGACCACTGTGTAGCCCATCTCAGCTGCTCTTGGGGCTGTGCTGTTAACTGACATGAAAGTGACTAGGTCCTCTCAATTTCAGAGCTGTTAGAGGCAAGGGGCTCTTAGTAACAAGGAAAGGAATCTTAATAAGATACAAATAGCTTGGAGCAGGTAAGCTTAAATCAGTTTAACTGGTGCCTTTAATGTTGAAGTCAATGGGACTTGGCCATTTGTCTGATTTACACAGCTGTTTGCCCCTTCTTTACACTTCCCTTGTTTGTTTATAAATTTTGATGCCCTGGAAAGTTTAAAAATAACTGAGGTCAGAATAAAAGCATCAGTTATGAGCAGAATGGAAGTGGGCTTTGCAGGAGTGGGTTGTATTTACCTCATGTAAGAAGCAAGAATTGCCACGCAGTATCTTTAATTGGACCAATTATAGGGTTGCAAGAGCTATTAAACCAGCTTTTGGGCACAAAATGCTCTTCCTCAGGTTCCATATGTAGAGGAATATGTTTCTGGCATACTCCTTAGACCAGTGTGGGTACAACAGTACTTTTCTTATGCCAACTTCAGTAATGCAGCACTTTTTAAGGCAGGGGCAGGCAATTATTTTGGGTGGAGGGCTACTTACTAAGTTTTGGCAAGCCATTGAGGGCCGCATGACGAGCAGATTAATAATAATTTTTCTAAAATGTTTTAAGGACCCCGCAGGCCAGATAGAACAGCCAGGTGGGCCACATCTGGCCCATGGACCACATTTTGCCTGCCCCTCTTTTAAGGGGTTCAAAAACAAAAGTTCCTTCCACTGTCTTCACTATGACATATCTTTGAACCCACAAATCATTCAGATCCAGAAGCTTGAATGTTTCTGGAACCCCAGCAATATAACACAGCAGATCATTGGAGTTGCCAGAGGTAGTACAGGCAGCATGGAAGGTCCTGGGGAAGCTGAGTGTGTATGTTTTTTTTGTCAGTCTGTTTTACTTATGATCTGTAATACCTGCTGTTCCAGGCCCAAGCCACTATTCTCCTCTATAGCCCCCGCTATTCTAGTCCTCTGTCCCTCTCATAGCTCTCTCAGTGTATTTCCATACTGGCCAGCAGTATCCTCAGTTTTCTCAGCCCTGGAAGTATTGTACAGACTTGTGCTGTGTTTTCAAGAGCAAATTTGGTACTATGAATATAATAACATTACTACAGCAAGAATATTCACCAGAAGCAGTAGTGTATTTGCTTACCTAGAAATATCAAACTTCTCTTCTCCCAGATTTTTAAAGAGAGGGAGGAGGACCTGAGGCGTCTGTCCCGTCCCCTGGAGTGTGCTTGCTTTAGAACATCTATCTGGGATGAAACCCTTTACAAGGTTAGTATGGCTTCTTTTCCTCTTTAGGGCATGTCTTCCTGCAAACTTTTTCTGTGTGAATTCTGTGGGCGATTGCCGTGAAGTTACGTAACTGGACTAAATGCTTCTAGTTCTGGAACTTGGAAATAATTTCTGAGATGGGTGGGTTCCATGCAAGCAGTTCAAGGCAGGGACCTGATGCCAGTTAAAATGCTGGGCTACTTCCCCTTCCGACATTGGTATGATGGCACTACCTGAGCCAAGTAGGGATCAAATGATGTTATGATATGCTATGTTCAGAAAAACAAATCTGGTCTTAATGAGCAGAGAGACTAGCTGCCTGGGTGGCAGAACCTTTGGATGTCAGCCTGTTAGGCAGTCACAGTGACTTCAGAGGAGCTCGGAGAGCTTGAGCTCTTACACTCCGTAAATCTAGAGAATTTCTCAGCCTGCAGTGTGTGACATGCCTGAATGGAGTTGGTCCAGGATACACACTTTTAAATAATCCTTCCATATGTGTTAATTGCTGCCATACTGCAGGCAGCTAACTGTCTTTCTAAAAGAAGACTTGCTGAGCATTACCTAGCTAAACTTACTTCTTGAATAAGGGGCTTCAAAGTTTGAATCGTATTGATTTCCCCTGGTTTTCTCCATTGGTCTGCACTTTGTATGGAAGTATCCATAAACAGAGTTCCATCATGGTAGGTCTAGCCCTTTCAGAGCTCTAAAGTAAGGTAATATTTTGAATCTTCAGCCCTTGGCAGGGCTCAAACCTCCAATTCTGCCATGAACTTAACAGAAGGGCTCTGCAGAGCTCAGGGAAAAATACTGGATTTAGAGCTCTGGATTTTCCTGGGTTCTTGACCTGGTAGAACTGTAATCTGGGTAGAACTATATATTATTTGGGAAGAGGCAGCGAGGTAAAAGTTGTACAAATTGAAGGCCTGATTCTAAGTGGTTACAGATACCTGCGATTCAGTTGCAATGGTGTGTTTAGTTCCCTTTAGTATCATAAGGGAACTAAACACACCATTGCAATTCGGCTTAGTCACCAACTGGCGATTTGATATCCTAGTTCCTGTATTATTTTTATTCCTCTTACAACTGGCCTTGGCAAATATATTGTTCAGGAAGAGGTGTGGGATGAGAATATTAGCAGGTCCCTCAGACATAGTTCTGTTGTATGAACAGCTCTGTGAGAGAACTTTGCATAACTCTTGTTTGTGTTTTTAACCAACTATAGCCTGAATACAGTTTTTCATGAATGCTGCACAGCAAGAGGAGGAGGAAGTGGACTCATGCAGTCCTCACAGCATTTCTTTGCATTCTTTCAACAGGCTTGGTCCAGTATAGTTTATCAGCTGATTCCTAATGTCCAGCAACTGGAAATGAACCTGAGGAACTTTGCTCAGATTATTGAAGCAGATGAAGTTCTTCTGTTTGAAAGAGCCACTTTTCTGGTGAGAACTGCTGTCCCTGCACCTTATTTCATAAGGGAATAAGTTCATCATGGGGGCACAGAAGGGAATTGGTGAGGCTTTACTCACCAAGGTGCCCCTGGGGGTTACAAGAAATAATGGCCACAAGCTAGCAGAGAGCAGATTTAGACTAGACATTAGGAAGAACTTCTTCACAGTTCGAGTGGCCAAAGTCTGGAATGGGCATCTAGCTGGGGTCATCTGAACCCAGCAGTCTTTCCTGCCTACGCAGGGGGTCAGACTCGATGATCTATTGAGGTCCCTTCCGACCCTAACATCTATGGAATAGGATAGTCTCTCCGATATAAAGATCGTAACATGCATAGAGAGCCTCAGATGAAAAGCTCTGTTAAATGCAGAAGGTATGCAGGTATAACCCTTTAGTTGCTGGCAGATCAAAGGTGCAGAAGTTCTTTCAGTCCATGCCTTATGATGGTGAAAGTAATTCTCACCTCTTAATATGAAACAGTAGCTTTCATGAAGTTTCCCAAACTCCCACTCAGCAGCGCTTCTGTGACTGGGACTAAATGCTTGATTCACATTTCCCCTCTTTCAGTCCTTGAAGGGTGTTTCACATCCCTGTTCTGAAGCCTGCTTTTGGAGTTTTTGTATAATTCCATTCTTCTAAATGAGACAAAATACAGTGTTAATTAGAAGTGAAAACTGGGAGATTTTCAAACCCAAAGTAATGCATGAGCTGTTCCATAGTTCCTTGTTTGTCATGTGCCTGGTCACAATGCACCCAATTTCTAAAATAGGGTGAAAATTTTCTCTTGGAACTTTTCCTGAGCTAGCACCTTCTCAAAACAAAAAAAACTACTATGAAATATTTTTGCTTTGCTTTAAACATTCCATCTTTCAGCCAAGCAAAATGTATTTGGTTTTTGAAAGAACTGAAAATGAAGGGGGGAATTCATGCCTCTTCATTTTTCAACATGTTCATGTGAAATAGTGATTCTTTCCCTCCCAACATGTTCTACTTTTTTTTTTTTAAGATTAGTATTGCACTAATGACTGACAGCATTTCATTGTAAGGCCTGTATTATCATTCAGACTGTTTGATGCAGGCAACTAAGTTATTCTCAGTTTAAACATGACTTCAAAAACCAGAAATGGCATTTTGGGGCTTCTTTACAACATTCACTCCTTTATGAAATGCCACATTTCCTCTGGATTTACAGTCCCTGGAAGAGAAATTCCTTTGACACATTTGTAGAAACTGTCCAAAACACAGTAATAACTCAAATATTTATCTGAGAATTGGGTACTGCACATGTAATTTGTTATTGGCGTAGCATTCCACTAGTCCAGATATGTGCACATCTGGATGAATACACTCTCAGATTCAAAAATAAGATCTATTTTCATATTTTAAATAGAAGCATATACCTCAGGTACTTGAATGCTATAGTTCTCACATAACCTTAGTACAGTGATACTCAACCGGAGTGGTGCAGCTCTTTGGGGTGCCTTGAGATCCTTCCAAAGATGCTGTGGGGTGCCGTACAATGTTTTCACTGTTAGGCATGCAAACATGATTTACAAGATAAGCTCAGAGATTTCAGATAGGAATCCACAGTGCTTAAAAACATCCTGACCTGTTGTGTTCCAAGTTCTTTGCAACAGAAGAATTGGTCTTTTGTTTTTGTAATCAACGAGAGCAAACCAAGCTGGCTTTTTTCAGTCTAAGTTGGCTGAAATGATTGCGTCTAAAATGATCTGAGAACCATTGCCCTAGTTTATAATGCCTCATAGAGAAAGCAAGAGCCTAATGACCTTTACCAGTGTCCTCTGTTACTACCACGTCTTATTGCAGACACCACAGCTTGTTCCATGACTTCTGCAAGTTTAACGCATAAGCTATTATGTTGCCTTAAAATACTCTCAAGAAGAGAGATACAAGTCAGAAAGAGCTAATGCATGACAGCCTTCCTGCAGCAGAATGACTGACCACTTGGGCTTCAGTCTATAAGAATGCATGAAGTACCACAGTCACTGAGGACAGGAAT